TCCCCTTTGCCTTCTGCCATGATTGTAATTTTCCTGAGGCTTCCCCAGAAGCTGAGCAGATGCCAGCACCATGCTTCCTGTACAGCCTCCAGAACAGAGAGCCAATTAAAATTTTTTTCTTTGTAAATTACCCCATCTCAGGTATTTCTTTATAGCAATGTGAAAAGGAACTAATACAGACTTTTAGAAAAAAATAGAAGAGAATATTTTTGTGGCCTCATGGTAATGAAAAAAATTTAAAATAAGACACAAAATCACAAATCTTAACGAAAATATTTATGAATTTGGCACCATTAAAATAAAAAAAACACTTTTGATTGTCAAAAGACACATTAAAGCGATCAAAAATACAATTAGTCATAACACATAACTGACAAAAGATGGGTATCCAGATTCTGCAAAGAACACTTACAAATCAATATAAATAAAAATAACCCAATAGAAAAAGGTTAAAAAAATATGAATAAACAATTATCAGCAGAGAAAACTCAAATGATCAATGAATATATGAAAAGATGTAAAACCTCACTACTAATTAGAGAAATGCAAATTAATATCCCAATGTAATACTATTTCACATCTCTCAAATGGACTAGTCTTTAAGAGTTTGATGATCCAAGTGTTAGCTAAGTTGTGGGGAAATTAGAACTTTTATACTCTCTTAATTGGAAGGTAAATTGGTATAATCACTTTAGAAAGCAATTTGGCAATATTTAATATTTTAGGTTTTTCTAAGGTATATCTAGTTTAAGGTATTTTTCTAAGGTATATCACGCTATTTGTGAGCATTGTGAATACTCACAAATATGTACAGAGGGACAGTTTATAGCAGTGTTGCTGTTGTAAAATTTTGGCTATAACCTGTCTGTCCATCAATAAGAAAATGGTTAAGTAAATTCTGATTTATTGGAACAATGAGTTATTATGTAGCAATGAAAAAGAGTTGATTAGAGCTGCATGTATCAATATGGATGAATTTCACAAACACATGTTCAAGGGAAAGAGCAAGTTGTACAATACATGTTCATACCTAGTTTTCAGTGTACAGATCTTGCACATTTTTATCAGATTTATCCCTAAGTATATTTTTAGTGCTATTGAAAATGGTACGTTAGGCTGGGCATGGTGGCTTATGCCTGTAATCCCAGCATGGCTTTGGGAGGCTGAGGTGGGAGGATTGCTCGAATCCAGGAGTTCAGGATCAGCCTAGGCAGCATAGTGAGACCTCCTCTCTACAAAAGAAACAAAAACAGCTGGGCACAGTGGATCATGCCTGTAATCCCATCATTTAGGGAGGCAGAGGTGGGGGTATAGCTTGAGCCCAGGAGTTGGAGACCTGCCTGGGCAATATAGTGAGACCATGTTCTCTAGAAAAAGAGGGAAAAAGACAAAAGTAATAAAAATTTTAAAAGTTAATTGGGCATTGTGGTGCATGCCTGAAGTCACAGATACTCAGGAGGCTGAAGTGGGAGGATTACTTGAGCCAGGGAGGTTGAGGCTACAGCGGGCTATGATCATTCTACTGCCCTCCAGCCTTTCAGAGTAACAGAGTCAGACCCTATCTCAAACACTACTCAAATAAATTAAAAAAAAAAAAGAAGAAAATGGTATTTAAAAAAATTCCAATTTCTAATTGTTCCTTACTAGTATATGGAAATACAGTAGACTATTGTATATTAATCTTATATTCTATAATTTTGCTAAAATCACTTATTCTAGTAGATATTAAAAGTATATTCCATCAGCTTTTCTCTATATATGATCATGTCATCTGCGAGTAAATACAGTTTTATTTCTTCCTTTTCAATCTGAATGCCTTTTTCCCACCAAACACTCTAGTAAGAACCTGCATACAAGGCCAAATAGACGCTATGAGAACAGACATCCTTGCCTTGCTCCCAATCTTTGGGAGAAAACATACAGTTTTTCACATGAAGTATACTGTTAGCTATGGGTTTTTTTTTTCGAAGCTCTTTATGAGATGGATATAATTCCCTTCTATTTTTTGTTCAGTGTTTTTATTATCAAAAGGTGCTGGCTTCTCTCAAATGCTTTTTTTTTTGCATTGATTAGGATGAGTATATGTTTTTTCATATGGTCTGCTAGTATGGTAATTTATATTGCTTGATTTTTGGATGTTAAATCACTCTTGCATTCTTTTGATAAATCTCATGTGTTCATGATGGATTGTCCTTTTAAAATATAAAGAGACATCCAATTTGCTAAAATGTTGTCAAGAATTATTGCATCTATATTCATATAGGTATATTGGTATATAGTTTTCTTGTCTTATAATGTCTTAACTGGTTTTGATATCAGAGTAATGCTGGACCATTCAGTGATTTGGGAGGTATCTCCTTCTCTTCAGCTCCCTTGAACAGTTTGTGTAGAATCAGTATTATTTCTACTTTAAATGTTTGACCCTGAGGTTTTCTTTCTTTTCATTTCTTTTTTCTTTTTTTTTTTGAGGCAGGGTCTCACTCTGTCACCCAGGCTGGAGTGTAGTGGCCCAATCATGGGTCATTGCAGCCTTGACCTTCCAGGCTTAAGCAATCCTCTCATCTCAGCCTCCCAAGTAGCTAGGGTTACAGGCATGCACCACCATGCCTGGCCAAACTTTATGTATTTTTTATAGAGATAAGGTTTCACCATGTTGTCCTGGCTAATTTCAAACTCCTTGGCTCAAGAGATCCTCCTGCCTCAGCCTCCCAAAGTGTTAGTATTATAGGTGTGAGCCACTGCACCCTGCCAACCCTGGGGTTTTCCTTGTGGAAACATGTGTCAGTCTGTTTGCATTGCTGTAAAGGAATACCTGAGACTGGATAATTTGTAAAGAAAGGAGACTTATTTGGCTCATGGCTCTGCAGGCTGTACATGAAGCATAGTGCCAGCATCTGGTTCTGATGAGGGCCTTAGGAAGCTTCCAGTCATGGCAGAAGAAGTGGTGCCTGTGAGTCACATGGTGAGAGAAAGCAAGAGAAAAGGGGAAGGAAGTTCAAGGCTCCTTCAAACAACCAGATCTTGTGTGAACTCATAACTGAGAACTCATTACTGGGGAGGATGGCACCAAGCCATTCATGAAGGGTCCATGCTCCAAACACCTCCCATCAGGCCCCACTCCCAACACTGGGGACTACATTTCAACACGAGAGTTGGAGGAGACAAACATCCAAACTATCTCAGAAGGTTTTTAACTGCATATTTAATTTCTTTAACAGATAAAGGCCTATTCTGGCTATTTCTTCTTGAGTGTTCTTAGATTGTATTTTTCAAGGAATTTGTCCATTTTATCCATGTAGTGTCATTTCTATCTGGTGTAATTAGAATAGTGTTCATATCAAAGTTCAGTTTCTCCATATCTTTTCCAGGTAACTCTCCCTTTGGTGCTTTGAAGCAATATGGCATCTTGACTGGCTCCCATGGGCCCCACCTTCCCTCCTAGGCTCAGCCCATGACAACACCACTCCTCAGTACCCTCTCATCTTCCCCCACTGGTATCCCTCCAGCATTCCTCACCTGAAGAACTTAGGCTTTCTTATGTCTCTCTAGTTAGCAGGAAACTACCTAGTTAAAAAACCCACTCCAAGTTGCTTATTACTTAAGGGATTAATCCTCCTAGGAGTATTTACGTTTCAGAAGAGAATGTCTAGAGAGGATTGTGCATAACAAAAATAAGTCAATCTTTAATGGTGTTATTACAGGTTCTGTGACAAGTAGGGGAGGGAAGCGCTTTGGGAAATGGACTTTCCTCTCTTTCAAATATTGTTCAAGTACGAATTTGCTCTTGTCACTCTTCTGCTTTAAGACTGTATACAGGGAGTTCCCTTTGTCCTTTGGTCAAAGTAAAATGTTTGATACAGCCTTGCATGATCCTGGTGCTTTTCGGAGCCATCAGACCCGCTCTTGACGCTCTGCTCTGGTGGACCTCTATGCTGGCCCTCAAACTGTTGGACTTCTCTGAGAAAGCGATATGTGTGCTCAGATTTTCGGGATGAGGTGGAGAAATTCAAAGAGAGGGCATTTGCTCTGGAACTGAGGCTACCAAAGTGACCAAGAGAATGCATCCCTGTTCTCTGGGAGCTCAAGGTCTAGTGGTCTTATAGCGTGGAGTAGCAGACTGGCAGTGCAGCCAGTGACCGGCAGGCTGACTAGAGAAGGCAACTCTCGCTGTGGATGTAGCCGGAAACCGGCTTTCTGCTTCAGGGTGCGGACCCGCCGCTGATCTTTCTTCCCTAAATTTCATGCACCTGCTACTTTCCAGAAGGAAGATCACCCTCTGCTTGGGTTGGCTATGTGCTAAACCTCTGTCCACTCCAAAGGCTGGGAACGACGTGGTCTGCTGATTAAAAATCAGATTCCTGTACTCTAGGCAGGCTGCTTCAACGGGAATGGAGTCTAGAAACATATAGGTCTCGCTATACGTTGCCCAGGCTAGTCTCAAACTCCTGGGCTCCAAGCAATCCTCCCGCTTCAGCCTCCCAAAGCGCTGAATTACAAGCCTGAGCCACCGCGCTGGCCTAAATGTACCTTTTAAACCAAGTACTGCAGTGGATTCTTAGGCATGAAAGTTTGAGAGCCACGGTTGTGAGGGACGTCACGCCGAAGGCTGGACGTTCTTGCGGCCCCCAGACCGAGCCTGGCCCTTGCATTCCCACCCTGGGCTCTTTCTTGGTGACAACTTTTCCGAGGCGTCAGGGCTTCCCTCGAGCGTGGCGACCCCGCGGGACGCGGTGTCAAGAGCCAGGCTGGGCGGCAGGGCGGGCGGGGGAGCGGCGGGGCTTGGGGCGTGGGCACCCTGGGACCGCGGACTCCGGGGATCACAGCGCCCGGGGAGGAGGCGGGAAGAAGCCGAAGATATTTGGGGAGACAAAGGGACCGAGCGACGGAGGGAGGAACAGAGTCCAGCCTCGTGCTTGTTCCGAGCACCGGGGACTCGCGGGGAGCGCAGGAGGCCGGGCGGGGAGGTTCGGGGCAGTCCACGCGCCCTCCGCGCAGGGCGGGCGGGGCTCGCTGCCAGCAGGCCCCGGCACTCCGATAACTCCGCGCCCAGTGCACCGCCGCAGCATGGGGTCCCGCCACTTCGAGCTGATTTTTGACCACGTGGGGCACTACGGCAGGTAGAGGGCGGGGTGGGGAGGGGGCGCCACGCGGGAGGGGTCTGTTTCTTTCAGTTGCGGTGGGGTTCTAGTGCGGCGCTCGCGATCCGAAAACATCTCCACTACCTCCTTCCCCCGCGCAGTCCGGACTCTGGCGTCCAGACGCCGGTCCGGAGCTGGGCTTGTCCCCTAGGACGGGCAGCGGGAACTGGCAGGTGATCAGAGGCGCTGGGCTCGCTCGGGGCGCGCCTGTTGCCGGGCAGGTGGGACCTGGCGAGTGCTCTCCGTGGCAGCCGATGCTGGAGGCCCCCCCGGAGGGACCGGATCGCACGCGTAGGGGGTGCCTGTGACTGGCCGCCGGTTTCTCGAATCCGCCGCCACTTCCCTAGACTGCTTGCTGCCCCGTTCCGCCCCGCGCCCCTAGGCTCTCTGTCTGTGCCTGGCAGGTGTTCCCCAGGGACAACCGTTAGTCAGAGTTGGTTGCCGTTCATTGAAACTTAATATGTGCCAGGTACACTATACCGGGTGCTTACACACAGTTCTTCATTAATGTTCACAGGGACCCTGCCAAGGAGGTGTCCAAATCCTTATTTTCGTGATTGGGAAACTGAAGCTGGCGGGGTCAAGGGCCCACAGCCAACGCATGGTGGAACCACATTTAACCTCCGTACACCCTCTTTTCATTTGTCAAATGGATTTTAAAATTTTTAAATCATTCATTCATTCATTCATTCACGTACCGAGCTCCTCTGTGTGACTCAGAGTGTTTTGAGAGGGGAGGCAGGCGGGTGAGGGGCCATGCAGCGTGGTGGCCGGAGGCTTGGATCTACATCTGAATCCTGGCCTGCTGCGTACCCCTGATGCGATTCTGGGGATACTTTGTGTGTCAGTTTCCTATGCAGAAAATGGGAATCAGGCTTAGTGAAGAGATGATGTGGTGCTGTTCTTCACAGTGGAAGGTTGCGGCCATTTTGGTTTTGATTCCCAATGTCTGCAAAAAGGAACAGTTAGGACAGAGGAAAGAGGCAGGAAGCCCCAGCTCTCGCCTGCTTCCTTCTGCTGCTTGCATCATTGAGCGCTGCCTTGTGCCTGGCTCGGTCATAAGCCGTTGGTACATGTTACTTCCTTTAATGTTCACTACAGCCTTATGAGGTTGGTGTATCACCCTTGTTTCACAGTTGAGAAAACCAAAGTTTCTGCCTAAGCACAATTCTAATACTAGCAGGGCAGAATTAGATGTCATTGGATGCCCATCACCTCCACAGCCCTCAACCATGATGTGCTCCTGAGCACGGTTAGGTAGCGGCCCCTTGGCTGGGCCAGGCCCTTTATGCATGAGCTCATTTTATTCTTCTGGAGGCAGAATAGCACAGTGGTTAAAAGTTCTAAGGTTGGATGTCTGAGTTTCCCTTCTGGCGCTACCACACATTAACTCTATGGTCTTGAGCATCTTATTTACCACTTTCTCATCTGTAAAACGGGGCTAATAATAGCAGCACAAATGTTTTCAAAGAGGAGTAGTGAAATGTTTCTATGAGGACTCAACGTGCAGTTTCTCATCCTCACAGAAACTCAGTGAGGTAGGAGGAGCTAACATCTTAGCTACCCTGTGTTTTTTAGGGATTAGCTGGGTTAATGATATCAGTTGGTGTTTGACTAAGGTGCCCTATCAAACAGATTCCTCAACTGGAAGTTTGTACCTCTCCAGTAACTGCCCACAGCAGGATCTGTTACACAAGGTCATTCAGGGACCCAGGCAGGTGGGGCAGCTCTGTCATCCATGGCATGGGGCTCCCTGTCTGTGCTTGGGGCAGCCACTCCCCCATGGCAACAGCTCACCATGGTTAAGAGGGTGCAAATGGGTTTGAGGAGACAGCTCTTAGCTGGCCACCATAATGTATGCAAAAGTCTTACTATTCAGTAAGTCACGGCTATCATTGTTACCTGAGTTCCCATATTAGTGGCAGGGTTGATTGTGAAAGCAGCTTACAGGAGGAAAAAGGGTAACAAACCAATGCTTACATAGCAGAAGGTGAAGACAGCATGACTGTAATACAGTACCCCCGTTTTCTCAGGTATTTGCTCTAAGTGATCTCTATTCTTTATAAACAGAAAGGGAAGTTATCGTGATGATTATTTAGTCCTTTCTTTAAGGAAACCTAGTGAAAGTGTTAGGTAGAGCAGTGGTCCCAACCTTTTTGGCACCAGGAACCCTTTCGTGGAAGACATTTTTTTCCACAGACCTGTGGTGGGGTCGGCGGAATGGTTTCAGGAGGAACCTGTTTCACCTCAGATCATCAGGAATTAGTTAGATTCTCACGAGGAGCATGCAACCTAGATTCCTCACATATGCAGTTCACAGTGGGGTTCATGCTCCTGTGAGAATCTAATGCACCACCGATCTGACAGGGGGCGGAGCTTAGGAAGTAACGCGGGGTGGCCACCGCTCACCTCCTGTTGCGCGGCCCAGCTTCTAACAGGCCAAGGACTGGTACTGATCTATGGCCTGAGGCTTGGGGACCCCTAACATAGAGAACCCTGTTTTCCTCTCATTTCTCATTGGTCATTTCTAGAGTAAGGAAGCACTACTGTAGTCACCTTGAAGAGGGGAAAACAGGATACCTGAGAAGAATTAAAATACCATGCCAAGATTGGTTCTGAAACCATATCATAGTGCCATAAACTTCACAGCTTAAGCCCCCTATGAAAGGAAATTGAGGAGACTGAGACTCAGGCATCTGTATTGGGAGAATCTGAACCTGGATCCCTAAGTTAGTTGTCCCAGGATAAAAGGAGAGACAGTTTAAAAGTTGAGAGTTGGAATGTGGAACCTGTGGGAGACCTTCACTGATGGATAGAGGTAGGTTTTGTTTTTCAATATATAGAGCTTTTCTGGCTCTTCTTTTTTGACTTCAGCATATGAACATCCTAACAGCTACCACTTAGGTACAGCTATGGTGTGCTTTCCAGGTGTTAACTCATTTCATTCCCACAAAGCCCATTGTTCAGATGAGGAAACTGAGGCACAGAAAGGATAAGGGTCTTGCTCATGGTCCCTGGTGGTAAGTAACAAGGCCAAGATCAAACCTTGGCAGTCTGGCTCCAGAGTCCATCCTCTTAACCACAATGGGCTCCATCAGTTATGCTTTTATGCAGAATGATATAATCTAGGACTGAAAGCAGTTTTCTTCATCTGTCACCCAGATTGCATGGGTCCACTCCCTGGGGCTTCTGGTTGCCCTTGATTTTCCTCACCTCTAGGTTTTCTGCTGATTGTGTTTGTGTGATTCTTTTTACATTAGTCTGTTGTATCTATAAGCCGGTTGTCCTGGTGGACCCCTAGGTTGGGTACATGAACGACACTTCTGAGGGCCAAGAATCTTTGTAAAGGAGAGAGTGATGTGTTAGAATGCTAGATGCCACTTTGGGAGGCTGAGGCAGGTGGATCACAAGGTCAGGAGTTGGAGACCAGCCTGGCCAATATGATGAAACCCCATCTCTACTAACAATACAAAAATTAGTTGGGCATGGTGGCAGGTGCCTGTAGTCCCAGCTACTTGGGAGGTTGAGGCAGGAGAATTGCGTGAACCCAGGAGGTGGAGGTTGCAGTGAGCCAAGGTCACACCACTGCATTCCAGCCTGGGTGGTAGAGTGAGAATCCATCTCAAAAAAAAAAGCTAGGTGCCTGAAGAAATAGGGTTTGTTTTTTTCAAGAGCTTATTCTTGCAAAAAGGAAAGGGGAGTTAGAATTGAAGGATTGCTTAGGACTTTTCTAGCACATAGAAAGCGTATTTATGTGAACTAGCATGGCTTGATTGGGGGCCACTTAGTGGTTTATTATTTCTGGGGTATAAAATATGAGAGTGAGAGAGGTAGGAGGTTACAGTCATCTCCACGAGTGTTTCGGTATGTCATGCTGCAGAGTTTGGGTATCAAGTAGGGCAAAGGGGCCAGTGAGGACCTTGTAAGAGCCCAGGTGAGAGAGAAAAGGGTCTGCACAGCGCGAGTGTGGGCAGGGAGGACAGGACAGTATTAGCAGATGGAGTTGATGGGACCTCTTGGCCCTACGGCATGAAGGAGAAGTGAAAGGGACCGCATGCCCCTCCTAGCCCACCCCATGTCCCTTGCCCCCAGATTTCTAGTTTGTGTGGGTGATGGTACCCTAAACTCAGAAAGTTACCCTCCAGGTGGGGCAGGGCTAGATATAGAGTTCAGTTTGAGATTGGTTTACCTTGAGTTCCTTGTGGGAATTCCAGGTGGAGACATCCAGTGGGAAGGTGGGTAGATCCTCTGTTGCTCAGAAAAAATGCCCCCTTGTCAATACGGATCAGGTGGCCACCCAGGGCTGCAGTCCAGCTGGCAGGCGCCTTGTGGACAGATTAGGCATGCCTTGACACCAGCTGTTCCTCGGCAGGGGCGTTGCTGAATACTTTTCCCTCTCCCTGGGCCCTGTAGATAGAAAACTTTTAAATTGATATGTTACATATACGCAGAGAAGTGTGCACCGTGATCTACGAGCCAATGAATCGTCATACAGTGAACACACCCGTGTTACCCCTGCCCAAGTCATCTCTTCCCTCTGTCCCTGTCCCCCAAGCTCACTATTGTCCTTACATCAACCATTCTAAATGTTACATAAGTGGGGTGAGAAGTACGTGCTCTTTGGCTTCTTTTGTTCCACACTGTGTTTGTGAGATCCACCCATATTGTGTGTCACTGTAGTTGGTCAGTTTTCATAGCTACATAGTATTTAATGGCATGAGTATTTTATGGTTTATTCATTTATTGTCAACAGACGTTTAGACTCTCTCCAGGTTGGGCGTATTATAATTTGCCTTTCTTGCATATGTCATTTAGGGTACGGTTATGTGTCACTTAACGACAGAGCTACTTCCGAGAAATGCATTGTTAGGTGGTTTTGTTGCTGTATGAACATCACAGGCTGTACTTACACAAACCTAGATGGTACATCCTGCTACACACTTAGGCTCTGTGGCATAGCCCACTGTTCCTAGACTAGA